TATAGTGAAAAAGTTTCCCAAATTCATCACACGGGCTGTTATGGCACACAATGAGAGGGTGAATGGTCATAAATATGCCTGGAAGCCCTCGTATCTTCTTAATGAATGTTAACCCAAAATTCCGAGCACACAATTTTGGCTGTCTGGTTACAAAATAGATATTTATAAGAGCTAAATTCGGCTGACATTGCAAAGGGTGTTGAAAACAATCCTATTTGTGTTATGCAGAAATGCATAAATTAATGTTCAATCGCAACTTAGCGGTGTGAAGCCAGCCAGGCTTAGATGTCCTGAATGCTGAGATGAGCAGATCTGACTTCAGCTGCTGCACGTGTGTGCTGTGTCAACTTCTTGACTTTTCCATTCTTATAAAGAGTTCCAGAGGAAACCAAAAACAAACAATTGTTGTGATATAACCTCCGTGTTCAATAGAGTTAATAGATTTTCTTGGTTCTGTCGGTAAAGTCACGTAGAAGGGAAGTAATAAAATAATATAAAATAAAACATAATAAAATAATTCTCACGACGTTTCGGCCACAACGCAAGCAGCCGTCCTCAGGTGAAAACAGGTCTGTCAGAAAACCAGGTCTGTCAGACCTGGTTTTCACCTGAGGACGGCTGCTTGCGTTGTGGCCGAAACGTCGTGAGAATTATTTTATTATGTTTTATTATTTTATTATTTCCCTTCTACGTGACTTTACCGAAAGAACCCAGAAGATGTAATATTGTTTTGATATAACGTGCGTGTTCAACAGAGTGAACAGACTTGACTCTGGCACACACACTGCCATGGTCAACAGCAGCAGGGGTTGTCCCCTCCACATTTAGAGTCAACATCAGCACGCGCTCAGCGTGTTTGACAGACATTGACACACGTAGTCTTGGTTCTAAAGTCACGTAGATAGCAAATACAAATAACAGATAATGAAATTAAATAAATATTCTTAGGTTTTTTCGGTAAAGTCACCAGGTAGGTAAAAACATTAAAATTAATAAAAGTCAAATAAAATAAAGATCACGACGTTTCGGAGGCAACACAACGTCGTGATCTTTATTTTATTTTACTTTTATTAATTTTAATGTTTTTACCTACCTGGTGACTTTACCGAAAAAACCTAAGAATATGAATCCTTGCAGTCACGAAAGCTTCAAATCTAGAAATTAAACAAAAACCACTTGTGTTGCGGTCAAAACGTCGTGGGTTTTTTTTCTTTATTTTCAATTTTTTATTTAATTTAATATTTTGATCTGTTATTTTATTTTCTATCTCTGTGACTTTACAGAAAGAACCAAGAATACGAATTGCTGCAGTTACGAAAGTTTTAAGTCAAAACATTGAGACACACGCGTTGACAAAACCCCACCCACCCACCTTGTTGTTGCTGTGGGCAGGTAGCTTCTGTAAACAAGAGCGGTACAGCAGCTCAAGCGGGCTTGGGCTGGTAAAAAAAACTAAACAAAAACTGCGTTAATATCTACAGTAAACCAAAGTGACAAAGTAGCGAGCCGCGTGAAGACAAATTAAACTTAAGGGAGGGAATTAAAGCAAACGCGACCAGGCGAGGGCAGGAGGCAAGGCCCCGCGTGTCTAGGCCCCGCGTTGTAAAGTTCCAACTTGGACATCGATTCACAAGCTGCTGCTGCTCTAGTGACATCCCTACGAGAGAGAGAGCGAGGCTCTAGCTTGGTAAACAACAACAACCACAACAACAACCACAACAACAACAACCACAACGATGAAAATTTCTCACCTCGGATTTCAGTTCACACGCGGACCTCCAGCTTCCTGTTACCTCGTGACGTCACGCGGCAGCAGATGACATGACGTCACTTCTGGGGTACAAGACCCTCCCCTCCCACAATGAGAGGCTACCCTAACTGAATAAATTAATAAATTATGTTGATGTTTGCGATCATCAACATTATCAATAAACATCATTTACACCATCATATACAACAACATCAACATCAGCAGCAGCATCATCAGCATCAACAACAACAACATCAGCAGCAGCAACATCATCAGCAACATCATTAATAACATCATCTACACCATCATCAGCAACATCATCACCACCCCTAGCATCAGCAGCAACAACATCATCATCAGCAGCATCAACAACAACATCATCAGCAACATCAACAACATCATCAGCATCAACAACAACAACATCAACAGCATCAACACCAACAGCATCAACATCAACATCATCAGCATCAACAACAACAACAGCATCAACATCAACAACAACATCATCAGCATCAACAACAACAACAACATCAGCAACATCATCATCATCAGCAGCAAAAACAACAACATCATCAGCATCAACAACATCATCAACAACATCATCATCAGCATCGACAACAACAACATCAGCATCAACAACATCATCAACAACATCAGCAACATCAACAACAACATCAACAACAACAACATCATCAGCATCGACAACAACAACATCAGCATCAACATCAACAACATCATCAACAACATCAGCAACATCAACAACAACATCAACAACAACAACATCATCAGCATCAGCAACATCAACAACAACATCAGCAACACCGTCACCATCTAGAACAGAGGGGAGGGAAGACTGCGGCCTAGTCGGCCTCGGGCCATCCCGAGTTTTCCTAGCGGACCCGCCGCGCCCGGAGCGCCTCCCCCGGCAGGAGTCGGGATCGAATAACGGGTCCGCCGGGCGTGGTGAACACACACACACACAGTGTACACACACACACAGTGTACACATACAGTGTACACACACACACATTGTACACACACAGTGTACACACACACAGTGTACACACACTACACACACACAGTGTACACACACACATTGTACACACACACAGTGTACACACACACTGTACACACACAGTGTACACACACACTGTACACACACACAGTGTACACACACACACTGTACACACACACTGTACACACACACTGTACACACACACACACAGTGTACACACACACACACATTGTACACACACATTGTACACACACACAGTGTACACACACAGAGTGTACACACACACACACATTGTACACACACACACACAGTGTACACACACACAGACAAACAGACACAGACACACAGACACACACAGTGTGTACACACACACAGTGCACACACAGACACACATACACAGTGTACACACAGACACACAGTGTACACACAGACACACAGTGTACACACACACACAGACACACACAGTGTGTACACACAGTGTACACACACACACAGACACACAGTGTGTACACACAGACACTCCAACACACACACACAGTGTACACACAGACACACACACACACAGACACACACAGTGTGTACACACAGACACTCCAACACACAACCGGTTAGTGCTGCTCCAGTGACAGATTGGCACGGTATGTCACGTGATAAACCTTGCGAATTGGCTGTCGGCTGATGGCCGGTTTTAACGACACGCAAACATTCAAACTTAATTTGGAGTTGGAGTTTGTGTCTCTCTCTCATCATCACGGTGGCTAGGAGATGTTAACTCCCTCGCCTGGTATGCAGGAGGTCGTGGGTTTGATCCCGATACTGAAGATTCTTGCTGTATATTTGGAGTTTGTGTCTCTCTCATCATCATCACGGTGGCTAGGAGATGTTAACTACCTCGCCTGGTATGCAGGAGGTCGTGGGTTTGATCCCGATACTGAAGATTCTTGCTGTATATTTGGAGTTTGTGTGTCTCTCTCATCATCATCACGGTGGCTAGGAGATGTTAACTACCTCGCCTGGTATGCAGGAGGTCGTGGGTTCGATCCCGGCCCTGGCGACGCCTACTGTTGTATATTTGGAGTCTGCGTGTCTCTCTCTCTCTCATCATCAGTGAGTGGGTGAGTGGGTGGGAGAGTGTGTGAGCGAGTGGGTGTGTGGGTGAGTGGGTGGGTGAGTGTGTGAGGTGAGTGTGTGTGCAGGTGAGTGGGTGGGTGAGTGTGTGAGCGAGTGTGTGTGCGGGTGAGTGTGCGGGTGAGTGTGCGGGTGAGTGTGCGGGTGAGTGTGCGGGTGAGTGTGCGGGTGAGTGTGTGAGGTGAGTGTGTGAGGTGAGTGAGTGAGCGAGTGGGTGTGGCGGGTGAGTGGGTGGGTGAGTGGGTGGGTGAGTGTGTGAGCGAGTGTGTGAGCGAGTGGGTGTGCGGGTGGGTGAGTGGGTGGGTGTGTGAGCGAGTGGGTGGGTGGGTGAGTGTGTGAGCGAGTGGGTGAGCGGGTGAGTGGGTGGGTGAGTGTGTGAGCGAGTGGATGTGCGGGTGAGTGGGTGGGTGAGTGTGTGAGGTGAGTGTGTGAGCGAGTGGGTGTGCGGGTGAGTGGGTGGGTGAGTGTGTGAGCGAGTGGGTGTGCGGGTGAGTGGGTGGGTGAGTGTGTGAGCGAGTGGGTGTGCGGGTGAGTGGGTGGGTGAGTGTGTGAGCGAGTGGGTGGGTGAGTGTGTGAGGTGAGTGTGTGAGCGAGTGGGTGTGCGGGTGAGTGGGTGGGTGAGTGTGTGAGGTGAGTGTGTGAGCGAGTGGGTGTGCGGTGAGTGGGTGGGTGAGTGTGTGAGCGAGTGGGTGTGCGGGTGAGTGGGTGGGTGAGTGTGTGAGCGAGTGGGTGGGTGAGTGTGTGAGGTGAGTGTGTGAGCGACTGGGTGTGCGGGTGAGTGGGTGGGTGAGTGTGTGAGTGACTGGCTGTGTGAGGTGCGTGGATGGGTCAGTGAGTGGATGAGTGAGGAGGGGTACCAGGTCGTCTACTGGGGGTGAGGGGTCATTATACAGGGCGGTTCAAAGGTCAAGACACAGTTTCTTGGGTTTCTATTTTATTGTGATTTCCGAGTTTACAAAGGTAGCTCTCTCTCCCATCCGTCTCTCCACTCTCTCTTCCTCTCTCCACTGCTGGGCCTGTAGCTTGGCCCGAGCGAGTTCCCGCCTTTTCACGAGTTGATTCCGCCCCCCGCCGTGGCTTTGTCGGCACGAGGCTTCTGCGCCGGTGAGTGTCAAGGGCTCCAACGGGCCCCAAGCCGCTGCCCCGTCGTCACCGCCGCCGTGGACAAAGCGCCGATGCTCGACATCATGAGCTGCGTGGAGAGGGACCTGCTGGACCTCGTGTTGCGCACGGGCTACAACATCGTCCAGGAGAACGGACAGAGGAAGCTGGGACCGCCGCCCGACTGGCAGGGCCCCCCTCCCGCCCGCGGCTGCGAGGTGTTCCTGGCGAGGATCCCGCGCGACCTGTACGAGGACGAGCTGGTGCCCGTGCTGGAGGCGGTGGGGCGGCTGTACCAGCTGCGCCTCATGATGACGTACCACGGAGAGAACCGCGGCTACGCCTTCGCCACCTTCGCGACGCGCATCGCAAGCCGCGGACGCCGTCAGGAGACTCCACAAGTCGGAGATCCGCCCGGGCAACGGATCGCGGTTCACGTGAGCGTCGACAATCGCCGCCTCTTCTTGGCGGGGCTGCCGAAGGTTAGGACGCGGGCCGAGGTGATGGCGGCAATGAGCGACGTCACGGAGGGCGTCGTGGACGTCCAGATGCGCTTCTGTCGCCACGACAGGAGCCACAGCCGAGGCTTCGCGTTCGTCGAATACGAGAGCCACCGCGCGGCCTGCATGGCCCGCAGGGTGCTGCTGCCGTACTCCTTCCGGCTGTGGGGCCGAGACATCCACGTGGACTGGGCCATCCCGCAGCGAGACCCGGGGGCGGCGGCTGCTGCTGCTGCTGCCGCGGCGGTGGTGGTGGTGGCAACGGAAGACGACGAGGAAGGGGGGGAGGAGGCGGGTGGCAACTGAAGATGAGGAGGGGGGGGGGAGGAGGCGGTGGAGGAGGAGGTGGAGGAGGGTGGGGGAGGAGGAGGTGGGGGAGGAGGAGGCAATGGAAGACGAGGAGGAGGTGGCGGCAGTCCCAGGCCTCCCGCCGCCGGAGTGCGCCGTCTCCGACAAGGCCCCGCACAACCTGTTTGTGGGCTGGGCGGCGCACACGCTGCTCTGGCGGGCACCTCACCACCCGTGGCCCACGCCAATCGGTCTGGACGAGCTGCCGGAGACGGCCGTCTTGTCGTGGGAGACGCGTTTGCAGGCGCTGCTACGGAGCGCCGGCGTGGGCCACGCGACCTTCGAACTGCACGCTCACTCGGAGCCCGGCAGGCCCATGGGCCTCTTGTACAAGGTCTCCGTTCCCGGGATGATGCGGGAAGGCAGCGGCTTCTTCCCCGCGGTGCTGAGCTCCAGCGCGGAAGGAGCTCGCGAAGTGGCCAGCGGCCTTCTCTACGAAATCCTCGGCGACGCCAACCCCCTGAGGGGGGGCCCGGTCCCCGCCGCCACGCTGCCTCCCGGCTGCCCCGTCCGGAACCTCCCGGCGTATCCCGGCGACTTCCCCGCGCCCCGGCAGCCGGTCGCCGCGCGCCTGCCGACGAGCGGCACGCACCCGTAGTGCCGCGTGGCCGTCGCGGCGGCGTTCGTCAGGCCGCGGACGGCATCCCACCCGCTCGGCGTTCGCTCTGAAGCTCACGTCCGCTCTGCCGTGTTCACCGTCAAACCGCAAGTTGCCCGCCCGCTCACCTCGACGTGCTCACGTTGATCGGTTGTTGCCTCTGTGGCCGTACCCGTGAATCCCTTCCCAGGCCAGCGGGCGTGACCCCGTGACCTCGCCAGGTGTGACCCCGTGACGTCACCAGGCGTGACCCCGTGACCCCCCCAGGTGTGACCCCGTGACATCACCAGGTGTGACCCCGTGACGTCACCAGGCGTGACCCCGTGACCCCGCCAGGTGTGACCCCGTGACATCACCAGGCGTGACCCCGTGACGTCACCAGGCGTGACCCCGTGACCTCGCCAGGCGTGACCCCGTGATGTCACCAGGCGTGACCCCGTGACCTCGCCAGGCGTGACCCCGTGACGTCACCAGGTGTGACCCCGTGACCCCACCAGGCGTGACCCTGTCATTACACTTTAATGAAAACCGACAACTGAATCCGTAAAAAAAAAAAATGATTTCAGGTGTTTGACGCGTCAACGCCATTTCGTTTTGAAAATGTCGGGGAGAAAAAAAATATTTTTTTCACATCGCATTTTGATTCATCAAATAGAAAAACCCACTCACCCACCCACACACTCGCTCACCCACTCACACACCCACTAATCCACCCACCCACACACTCGCTCACCCCACTCACACACCCACTAACCCACCCACCCACACACTCGCTCACCCACTCACCCACCCACACACTCGCTCACCCACTCACACACCCACTCACTCGCTCACCCACTCACCCACCCACACACTCGCTCACCCACTCACCTCACACACTCACCTCACCCACTCACCTCACACACCCACTCGCTCACTCACCTGTTCACACACACACTCACCCACTCATCTGTTCACACACTCACCCACTCACGTAGCGACTTTGCTACACACGGAGATGTCCGTGCACCGCCTCGTTTGCACAGCCTCTATCCCTGTGCCACGTGTAGTTCGTGCACACACAGCTGTTAAAGAGTTTGATGTTTTATCGATTTACAATTTACGTGTGTTTTTTTCCCCGTAATGGTTTTTTGTTAATGTTTTAGCGGAAATAAAGTCCTGAAAAGTCTCTTCCCTCTCTCTCTCGACTCTCTCGGCCAAGTATCTGCCACTGATGGTTGTGAGTGTCGCATGCTTGGGACCCGTCTTCCCCTCCTCTGCGGATTTAATTTGATGTGCTGATTCCGTTTAGAACAGGTCCCTGCGGGGTGGGCTGGTAGGAACGAACAAATGAATGGCTATAATAAAATGAAATGGCGGGGGTACGATACGAAGGGAGAGTTTGAGGCCTAGTTCTAGGCTTTAGGCCTAGCTGTAGGCTTTAGGCCGCTGTGAGTTAATTTGTAATTTAAATGTTTTCATTAAAAGCTATCTCAGGGAATTATAAGGGAATGTTACACTTGTTTAGCCAGGAAAGCCTCACTGAGTCTAAAGGTTTTTGTAGGGTCCTGCCAAGTGTTTGCAGTAGGGGGCGATGTTGCTACACCTAATCGGACATCGGACGGACGATATAATCTATTGTAGGCTGGTTCACTTCGTTCCTACCAGTATAAAGGATTTAAATAACCTATAACTATAGGGTGACACCTGTCGGCCTGGAGTGGTGATTACGGTCATGGGTGCATTACGCAATGCCTCATTATATGGGGGGTGGGGGGGCGTATCTGGGGTGAAGATGAAGGCGGAGTCGGTCAAGAAGCTCCTCTGGGAAGCGGCTGGAGGGTTCTGGAAAGGGGGCGTGGCCAGAGGTGGCGCTTGGCGGATATGAGGGATGATGGACCGGCGGTTCGTGCCGCCGTGGGTGCTGGCTGCGTCGCTGCTCGCCGGCATCATCTCTTCGTGGCCGACCTCGTGACGGATATTCGGCAGGACGGGCAGCTGGCGTGGCGAGGCCGGAGATGGGGCTGCGTGTCAGGATCGCCAGTGTGCAGCCGCGTTACGCGAGAGAGTGTGCTCTCAATAAGTCGCCCGCTGCACATTTGTGAAAACAACAACAACAACACGACGACGACAACAACAACAACAACAAAGAGGTACCTCGCCATTCTTTTGCTGCTTCAGAGTTAACTTTTATTACCCTTTAGCTTTTTTATTCGGTAAAGTCACGTCGGCGAAACATTAAAACAAATCGAATGACGACGTTTCGGGCGCAACACAAGCGACCCTCTTAAGGTGGGGGCAACAAAAAAGGACGCAAACTCCTTAGGCCTCGCCCCGGGGCCTACTCCTTAGGCCTTGCCCCAGGGCCTACTCCTTAGGCCTCGCCCGTGGCCACGCCTGCGGCCTCAGAGAAGTACGGATGGAAGAGGGCGACAGACGCAGAGATGCGCTTGCGGGGGCTGAAGGTCAGCAGCTCCTGCGGGAGGCACGGCCGTGCGTGCGGAGGGCGTGGAGAGACACAGAGAGACACAGAGAGACACAGAGAGACACACAGAGACACAGAGACACAGAGAGACACAGAGACACAGAGAGACACAGAGAGACACAGACAGAGAGACACAGAGAGACACACAGAGACACAGAGAGACACAGAGACACAGAGAGACACAGACACACAGAGAGACACAGACACACAGAGAGACACAGAGAGACACAGAGAGACACAGAGAGACACACAGAGACGAGAGGCGATGCGTTATTGCCCGCTCAACGGTAATCCCCGTCGAAGCGCGACAATTGCCGTCGCGTACAATCCGCCCGCGTCTCACCAGCAGCAGCGCCATCGCCACATTCTCGTTGCCCGGCGCGACCTCCAGCCCCATCTCCGGCGTGGAGTCGACCAGGGCCCGCGGGGCAGCGTGGAGACCGTAGGAGTGGCGACCACCGAGCTGAGTTTGCGCGGCAAAGTCGCCGTGCGGCAGGGAGGCTCCGAGCAGCCACTCCTCCAGGCTCGGCACGCCCAGCAGACTGGGACATGGGGGACGCGGGGGGAGGGGGGGGGTAAGGGGGGGGTAGGGGGGAGGGTAAGAGGGGGGGTAAGGGGGGGGTAGCGGCGGAGGTGACGGTGAGAATTCGGCTGTTGACTATCAACCCACTTTCATCAATGATTGCGCAACGGAGTGGCTGTTGTGGAATTTACATCAACAGCCAAATACTCCTGCCCCCCCTCCTCCTTCTTCTCCTCCCCCTTCCCCCTCCCCCCCCCTCCTTCCCCCTCCTCCCTCCTCCTCCCCCTTCCCCCTCCTCCTCCTCCCCCCCCTTCTTCTCCTCCCCCTTCCCCCCCCTCCTCCCCTCCCTCCTCCCCCTCCTCCCCCTTCCCTCTCCCCCTCCCCCCACCTCCCCCCCCCCTCCTCCACCCCACGTTGCTCTCCGCTAACAAATGAGATGGCGTCTATTGGCCCCCGCGCCGCTCCCCACGGCACGCTCGCCACGAGCTACTCACCCGAATATCTTCGTCAGCTGATCGACATCGGAGCCTCCGGGGAAGAGAGGCCTGCGTTGAGGGGAGACAAGGAGGTCACCTGATGCGACGTCGCTTAGAACCTTTTGCTTCTTTCGGTAAAGTCACGTAGAAGGGAAATCATAAAATAATAAAACGCAATAAAATACAATTCTCACGACGTTTCGGCCACAACGCAAGCAGCCGTCCTCGGGTGAAGAGCAAGTCTGTCGGAAAGACGGCGTCTGAATGAGCACCACCAGGCTTGTCAGCGTATATATTTAAATATATACTTAAATACTTAAATATACGCTGCCAAGCCTGGTGGTGTTCAGAAGAACAGGTCTGTCGGAAAGACACATCATCATAATAACAACAACACCAATTCAATGGGGGAGAGGTGGCATGGTGTTCGGTCGGACCCACGGGGGCACCTATCCTGGCACGGGCGCCATGGCGACGCCACCCTGCCAGGCCTGTGGTGACATTGCGTGCGGGAGAGGTGGGTGGGTGGCTGTGTGGGTGGTTTGGTGGGTGGGTGGATTGATAGGTGGGTGGCTGTGTGGCTGGTGGGTGGTTTTGTGGATTGGTGGGTGGGTTGATAGGTGGGTGGGTGTGTGGGGTGGGTGGGTGTGGTGGGTGGGTGGTGAGTGAGTGGGTGGGTGGGTGGGTGGTTTGGTGGGTGGGTTGATAGGTGGGTGGGTGTGTGGGTGGCTGGGTGGTTTGGTGGATTGGTGGGTGGGTGGGTTGATAGGTGGGTGGGTGGGTGTTTGGTGGGTTGATAGGTGGGTGGGTGTGTGGGTTGGTGGGTGGCTGGGTGGGTGGATTGGTGGGTGGGTGGGTGGTGTGGGTGGCTGGGTGTGTGGTTTGGTGGGTGGGTGCTAGGTGGTGGGTGGGTTGCTAGGTGGGCGGGTGGTTGCTAGGTGGGTGGGTGGGTTGCTAGGTGGGTGGGTGGGTTGCTAGGTGGGCGGGTGGGGTTGCTAGGTGGTGGGGTGGGTTGCTAGGTGGGTGGGTTGCTAGGTGGGTTGGGTGGGTTGCTAGGTGGGTGGGGTTGCTAGGTGGGTGTGGTTGCTAGGTGGGTGTGGTTGCTAGGTGGGTGTGGTTGCTAGGTGTGTGGGTGTGCGGGTGGCGGTGCTCAAGGAGCACCTGCGTGTAAACATCTCAGCAAAGATGCAGCCGACGCTCCACAGGTCGGCGGCCGGGCCGCAGGTCACCCGCAGCAGCAGCTCCGGGGCGCGGTACCACGACGGGGACACCTACAGCAGCGGCACACACAAAGACAAAGATCCCCCGTGTAGCCTTCACACACCGTAGGGGCAAGTGCCCTTAGCGAGTAGCAGCGCCTATGACGGCCGGCACACGAGGGGGTGGGTGGCCAGCACCGCACCCGGCCGCCTTTGTCTACCCGGTGGCGATGTTTACCGCGCACCGCACCGGGTACTCTTTTGAGGCTGAGTCAACCTAGGGGAGGCCCGGGACCGGTTAAGATAATCGTCGCCGGTGTTGGCCGGAAGACAGATTCAGACGCTGTCTCCTCGACAGACCTGGTCTTCACCTGAGGACGGCTGCTTGCGTTGTGGCCGAAACGTCGTGAGAATTATTTTATTATGTTTTATTTATATTATTTTATTACTTCCCTTCTACGTGACGACTTTACCGAAAGAACCAAGAAGACCTCTCTCTCTCACTCTCTCTACTCACCGCCGGGGTGAGAGCCGTGCTCGCGCCGTCCAAGAGGAAGCGTCCGAGCCCCCAGCCGGCGAGCTTGACGCGCCCCGAGGCCGTCACCAGGACGCTGCGTGGCGTGAGCTCGCGGTGCTCCAGGCCGTGGCCGTGCAGGTAGCGCAGCCCACACAGCAGCTGGCGCGTCACCTCCTGGGCACGGCGCAAGGTCACGGCACAAGGTCACGGCACAAGGTCACGGCGCAAGGTCACGGCACAAGGTCACGGCGCAAGGTCACAGCACAAGGTCACGGCACAAGGGCACGGCACAAGGTCACGGCGCAAGGTCACGGCACAAGGTCACGGCGCAAGGGCACGGCACAAGGTCACGACACAAGGAGGGGGGGGGGGAGTGTAAACTCGTTAGCCGCTCCGAGGCTCGGCTGGCAACGTGCGTGCGAGATACACAGAGACTGGTAGACTCATAGAGACTCAGAGATACACAGAGACACACAGAGACTCATAGAGACTCATAGAGACTCAGAGACTCATAGAGACACAGAGACACACAGAGACTCATAGAGACTCACAGAGACACACAGAGACCCATAGAGATACACAGAGACTCTGAGAGTGGTGTTGCCTTTTGGGGGTGGGGTAGGGAGTGACGGGGTGGGTGGTGGTGGTGCTGGCGGTGGCACCTTGATGTGGTGGGACGGTGTGTGGGGCGACTTCCCCAGGTAGGTGGACAGATCCTGGTCTACGAGCTCACAGACCACGGCGTGACGCGCGCCGCCCTCGTCACGAATATCCACAAAGACGTCCAGCAGCCTGGGGCAGGCCGGTCGGGGGTCGGAGACATCAGAGCAAGAGAGCGCAGAAGTCATCTCGGTTTGACGACGACGACGACGACGACGACGATCTGTCTCCTAATCTTTTCAAGACACGATGACCGTGGACAATTGGAGGATGGAGGCTGACGTGGCGACGATTGCGAGGGATCGTGACGCGGCGCGAGGGGTGGGAGAGACACCCACCTCACCACGTTGGGGTGCTCCAACTCCATCCACGGTGGAGATGGCGACAACGTAAGGCGAGTGACACCAAGACACGATGACCGTGGAGGATTGGAGGCTGACGCGGCGACGATTGCGAGGGATTGTGACGCGGCGCGAGGGGTGGGAGAGACACCCACCTCACCACGTTGGGGTGCTCCAACTCCATCCACGGTGGAGATGGCGACAACGTAAGGCGAGTGACACCAAGACACGATGACCGTGGAGGATTGGAGGCTGACGCGGCGACGATTGCGAGGGATTGTGACGCGGCGCGAGGGGTGGGAGAGACACCCACCTCACCACGTTGGGGTGCTCCAGCTTCGTGAGCAGCTGTAGCTGCAGCAGCTGCCAGGCATCTTCCTCCGGGCCCCCGCCTGTCTGCAGGCGCAGGCCCTTGAGCAGCACCACAAAGCGGCCCTGGTCCCGGAGGTCGCGAGCCTTCAAAGTCGTCGCGGCCCCGTAGACCCCAGCGCCCAACTCGGCCACGGACTCGTACTGCTGCTCCATCCCCGCCGCCCCCAAACGCTTCGAACGCAGACGCCGCCGGTCACGTGGATGTCCTCTGCTGCCGGAAGGACGCCGCCGCTAGCAGCAGCAGCAGCAGCGATCACACAGAGACGCAAGAGAGATAGAGAGAGAGAGAATTGTCACAGAGGTCACAGATACACATAGAGGGTAAATGGGCGAGGTTAATGACTGTGGCTCATGCAGCTGCAATGGCTGCTTTGGGTATGCGGTTCAGACCTCCCCAGAGACCCTGGCTGACAGAGGTCTTCAGGCTGGCTGAGAAAAAGCGACAGGCCCACTCTCATAGTCTACGGCATTCCACGTCAGAGAATGAGGAGGCTTACCGCAGCCTTCGCTCGGAGGTTCTGAGAGCCGTGAGGCGCTGCAATGATGGGTGGTGGTCGCGGGTTTCTGAGGAGATGGAATCTGCCTCAGTAGCCCGTGATCAGACATCGCTGTTTAATTCCATCAAAAACGTAAATTGTAGTGCCACACCTATCACCGTAATTAGGGGAAAGAATGGTGATCCAATCTCAGATCCCCAGGAACAGGTTTGCAGATTTGCTGAGCATTTCTGTGAGGTCCTGGGGGAGGGGAAATCCCTCAGCAGGAAAACATCATGGCACAAAGTGGGGATGACAGTGCTGAGGCTGCGGTGCCTCAAATATTGGAAGAAGTCACCCCCTGTGAGTGACTGGCTGAGGTGCCATCTGTTGAGGAAGTCCTGAAGGAGATCCAGAGTCGAGACCAGGAAAGGCACCAGGCAGAGATGATCACCCAAGGGAAATTCTAGACAGACCAGCCTAAACATTTAGGCTGGCCTGTCTATGATCCATCTTAACCGGTTAGAAACATTTAGGCTGGCCTGTCTACGATCCATCCTCGGATAACCAGGCTGGATTGTGTGTGGAGCTCACAAATCCTTGAAAGATCTGGACAAAGTCCTATTGGTGAGCTCCTCCGGCAGGCAAGGCTGCGTTGGCTGGGTCATGTAACCCGCATGCCCAGCCACCGCATGCCTAAACAGATTTCGTTCGGCCCGTTTTTTTTGGTTGCCATGTTTGTTGATGTACAGAGTTAGACTGATGGCCTTAATCTAAGTTGTCTTGTGGTTGTTGTTGTTTGACTTGCATCCTACTGGGATTTTTGCACATGGCGTTGGTGTAACGGTACTTTTTCTGCAATATTTTGGTCTTTTCTTAGATTTTCTGTTTGCACTTAGTCACATATTCACTTTAAGATGTTTTCTTGTTCATGTTTTTGTTTTTTGTTTGTTGCGGTTGCACCAGATTCAAGAGCCGAATGGCTCACAGGGCTACACGTAATACATGAACTTGATAGAGGGGCGTCATGGTTGGGATCGAACCCACGACCTTCTGTAGACCAGGCGAGGTAGTTAACATCTCTACAGGGTCGCGATCGAACTCACGACCTCCTGTAGACCAGGCGAGGTAGTCAACATCTCTACAGGGACATGATGGAACCCACGACCTCCTGTAGACCAGGCGAGGTAGTCAATATCTCTACAGGGTCGCGATCGAACTCACGACCTCCTGTGGACCAGGCGAAATAGTTAACATCTCTACAGGGGCATGATCGAACCCACGACCTCCTGTAGACCAGGCGAAGTAGTTAACATCTCTACAGGGGCATGATCGAACCCACGACCTCCTGTAGACCAGGCGAGGTAGTCAACATCTCTACAGGGTCGCGATCGAACCCACGATCTCCTGTAGACCAGGCGAGGTAGTTAACATCTCTACAGGGGCATTATCGAAACCCACGACCTCCTGTAGACCAGGCGAAGTAGTCAACATCTCTACAGGGTCGCGATCGAACCCACGACCTCCTGTAGACCAGGCGAAGTAGTCAATATCTCTACAGGGTCGCGATCGAACCCACGACCTCCTGTAGACCAGGCGAGGTAGTCAACATCTCTACAGGGTCGCGATCGAAACCCACGACCTCCTGTAGACCAGGCGAGGTAGTCAACATCTCTACAGGGTCGCGATCGAATCCACGACCTCCTGTAGACCAGGCGAAGGAGTTAACATCTCTACAGGGTCATGATCGAACCCACGACCTCCTGTAGACCAGGCGAGGTAGTTAACATCTCTACAGGGGCAAGATCGAACCCACGACCTCCTGTAGACCAGGCGAGGTAGTCAACATCTCTACAGGGTCGCGATCGAACCCACGACCTCCTGTAGACCAGGCGAAGGAGTTAACATCGACCTAGTCACAGTGACGCCCACGGATTCTGATTAAATGATCTCGACTTAGACATTTACATGAATGTTACATTCCACGGGCGGATTGACCAACACAGTTTAGACCCCTCAACTGTTCCACAAAGACCACAGGGGATGGTGGTGGGGGGGTATCAGCCCAGCCCAATCCCAGGCCAACCAGGCCGGGCAATGTGGCCTAGGGCTGCACTCACTCACTCACCTCGTGGTTCGCTCCGTAGACGTCTGTCTGGGTGGTGGGGGGTCTTGAGCTCTCTACTCCGTCGTGGCGAGGAGGTGACACACAAAGCTATTGACTCGTGTGGTGGTGGTGGTGGTCCGACGTTTCGCGCCGCTACCACAACAAGGGCGGGAGACGGTCCGCTGGTGGGAACGCGTGGCTTTAGCAGGGCGCGTTTAGAAAACGTAGCGCGGATAGGCGACCACGTGGCAGCGAGGCTAAATTCCGTAGAGCTGATAGGCGCTGCCCATAGACTCAACACTGGCCACAGTTCTGTATGTGCAGCAGTCGATTTGAAGTTTTTCGTGACTGATAGGGTCCATATCCTTTGCTTCTTTCGGTAAAGTCACGTGGGTGAAGATTTTAAATAGAAAATAGAAATAAGCAAAGAGTATATGCGCATACTCTGTGTTTTTTTCGGTAAAGTCACGGAGGTGAAAAAATTTGAAATTTAAATTAAATCTCGACGTTTCGGAGGCAACGCAAGCTTCCGTCCGTGTGTGTTGCCCGCGAAAAAGTCGCGATTTAATTTAATTAATTTTTATTGTTTTATATTGTATTGTGTATCTCCCTTCTACGTGAGTTTACCGAAAGAAGCAAGAACATGAATCCCTGCAGTCACGAAATCTTTAAATCAAAAATGTCTATATATATGCACAGTACTTTATACGTGCAGAGTTCAGTGTGTGTGTAAGTGATGTACCCCCCCCCGTACACCCCCCGTACCCCCCTGTACCCCCCCCCAGCAGACAAGAGCTGCTCGCGAGTGGGGGACACGAGAGGGGGGGGTGGCCAAGCACCACGCCCAGCCGCCTGTGTCTCTCCCGTGGCGATGTTCACTGCTACACACCGCACCAGGCTCTCGATTGATGCTGAGTCGACCTAGGGGAGGCCCAGGAGCGAGCAGTGATTGAGCTCTGACATTTAGAGTGTGTTGGTCTATGCGATGGAGCGTGGATCAAGCAGTGATATTTGAAATACAAATGTTTTATCGTTAAAAGTGACTCCCGCCACGTGATTTCTGAACGAGAAACTGACGATTTGTGGATGGCACCGAGATTTCTCGATCTAAAGAGATTTGTGGATCGACAAAGACCCCCATATTAGGCCGTCCCATTGACTCCGGTTGGCTTCCTCCCCGGCATTAACCGAGTTAGACTGATGGCCTTGATCTAAGTTGTCTTGTGGTTGTTGTTGTTTGTTTGTTGTAGTACAGAGTTAGACTGATGGCCTTGATCTAAGTTGTCTTGTGGTTGTTGTTGTTGTTGTTTGTTGTAGTACAGAGTTTGACTGATGGCCTTAATCTAAGTTGTCTTGTGGTTGTTGTTGTTGGTTGTTTGTTGTAGTACAGAGTTTGACTGATGGCCTTGATCTAAGTTGTCTTGTGGTTGTTGTTGTTGTTTGTTGTAGTAGAGTTAGACTGATGGCCTTAATCTAAGTTGTCTTGTGGTTGTTGTTGTTGTTTGTTTGTTTGTTGTAGTACAGAGTTAGACTGATGGGCTTGATCTAAGTTGTCTTGTGGTTGTTGTTGTTTGTTGTAGTACAGAGTTAGACTGATGGCCTTGATCTAAGTTGTCTTGTGGTTGTTGTTGTTGGTTGTTTGACTTGCATCCCACTGGGATTTTTGCAGACAGCGTTGGTGTACGGTGCTTTTTCTGCAATATGTTGCTGTCTTTTCTTGGATTTTCTGTTTGCACTTAGTCACATATTCACTTGAAGATGTTTTTTGTTCATTTTTATTTTTTTGTTTGTTGCGGTTGCACCCGATTCAAGAGCCGAATGGCTCACAGGGCTACACCTAGTACTTGAACTTGAATGCGTCATTCATTCTGTCACGGATTAATTCCATCCTGCTACAGCCCAACCCAAACCGCGGCACCGGTGCAGTTGACCGCCGTCGTTACCCGAGTGACGTCAACTTTGAATCCATCGCGATATCAAAACGATGAGATAGAAACCTGAGGATTTTGTTTGACGGAACATGCAAAACACTTTTAATTCACAGCTACGAAAACTCTTGGCCGATACAGAACGGGAATGGAGGCAGGTACTAGCATCGTTGTCTGCCTCACGTCACATCAAGATGTCATGTATATCAACATGTAACATATAGAGAGCAGTGTAGTGTATATAGTGTATAGTAGTGTAGTGTATAGTAGTGTAGTGTAGAGTAGTGTAGAGTAGTGTATAGTGTAGTGTATAGTAGTGTAGTGTATAGTAGTGTAGTGTATAATGTAGTGTAGTGTATAGTAGTGTAGTGTATAGTGTAGTGTATAGTGTAGTGTATAGTGTAGTGTATAGTAGTGTATAGTGTAGTGTATAGTAGTGTAGTGTATAGTAGTGTAGTGTATAGTATGTTGTTGTATAGTAGTGTAGTGTTAGAGTGTATAGTGTAGTGTATAGTGTAGTGTATAGTAGTGTAGTGTATAGTGTAGTGTATATGTAGTGTATAGTGTAGTGCATAGTGTAGTGTATAGTGTAGTGTGTAGTGTAGTGTGTGTGTAGTGTATAGTGTAGTGTAAGTAGTGTGTAGTGTAGTGTATAGTGTAGTGTATAGTGTAGTGTATAGTGTAGTGTATAGTGCAGTGTTAGTGTAGTGTATAGTAGTGTTAGTGTAGTGTATAGTGTAGTGTATAGTGCAGTGTATGTGTAGTGTATAGTAGTGTATAGTGTAGTGTATAGTGCAGTGTAGAGTGTAGGTTAGTAGTCTGTAAGTGTATAGTGTAGTGTATAGTGTAGTGTATAGTGTAGTGTATAGTGTAGTGTATAGTGCAGTGTATAGTGTAGTGTATAGTAGTGTATTGTGTGTATAGTAGGTATAGTGTAGTGTAGTGTATAGTGTAGTGTATAGTGTAGTGTATAGTGTAGTGTATAGTGTAGTGTATAGTGTAGTGTATAGTGTAGTGCTGGATGCCGTGGTGCTGGCACCCTCACAACTTTGAATGGATCACCGAACCCGGCAGGACTCGGCTGAACCCCGACTGGAGTCGATCTCCAGCCGAGGCCACCCCGGCAGCTTGCGGCTGCAGTCTACTTGTCTACTTGCAAGAGAGTTGGTCAACGGTCTGCGGGCACCGCTCGCACTTGACGGAGCAGCACCACCGGAACTTGCATCTGCACCGCTTCTCCACCGTCACTGGGAGGGGAACACAGCAGAGGCGAGAGTGCAAAACGTCGGACATTGTCGTTTTGCCCACGAGGTTTTTATCGCGATTCTGCAATCGCCGTCGCGAGGTGACAAAAGTCTCCGTGCACTTCTCTCCGTAGACGTTGGCAACTTCCGTAGATATCCCTTAGAGCGACCTAAGATTCACAGAAAGCAGTTCTAAAGAAATGCATTTTTTATTTCATTGCGTGGTGTACTGTATAGTGTAGTGTATAGTATAGTGTATAGTGTAGTGTAGTGTATAGTGTAGTGTAGTGTATAGTGTAGTGTATAGTAGTGTATAGTGTAGTGTATAGTGTAGTGTAGTAGTGTATAGTGTAGTGTATAGTATAGTGTATAGTGTAGTGTATAGTGTAGTGTAGTGTATAGCGTAGTGTATAGTGTAGTGTATAGTGTAGTGTATAGTGTAGTGTAGTGTATAGTGTAGTGTATAGTGTAGTGTATAGTGTAGTGTATAGTGTAGTGTATAGTAGTGTAGTGTATAGTGTACTGTATAGCATAGTAGTGTAACGGAGCGAAGAATAGTATCCTTGGGGTCTTTCGCTAAAGCCACGTAGATGGCCTAAAAAAATAATAAAAGTAACAAAAAACTACGACGTTTCGATCGCAACACAAGCGACCGTTTGGTTTATTTTAGTGATTTTTTTTCACCTATCTACGTGACTTTACCGAAAGACCCAAAGAATATTAAATCCTGCTGTCACGAAAGCTTTAAGTCAAGAGTGATAGTGTATAGTAGTACAGGGACAGTGTGGAAAGAGAGGGTGTCTGTCGTTATCCGAGCACAAGTAGTGCACGCTTGTCCTAGTTAAGTAGTGTAGGATATGAGACATTGCACTGACCCTGACGATGCCTGCTGCTGCTGTATATTTGGAGTCTGCGTCTCTCTCTCTCTCATCATCATCACGGTGGCTAGGAGATGTTAACTCCCTCGCTTGTTGTGCAGGAGGTCGTGGGTTCGATCCCAACTCTGACAATGCCCGCTGATGCTGCATTTGCGTGTCTCTCTCTGCCCGTAGGTCACGTGGATTTGTCTCCGGGTCCTCCGCTTCTCCCTCCACGTTGAAAATCAGGCGATTTAAGAGTATTTGGACGCTGTGCGTTTCTACGCGACGAGCCACTTGGTCGACCTATCGTCTGTGGCTGGATCTACGCAGCTCGGCGGAACTTGCCTGGTCAAACATAAAATAGTTTCGTAGCTTCTTAATGAATAAATTTCGATTTAAAGCTTTCGTGACTGCAGGGATTCATCTTCTTGGTTCTTTTGGTAAAGTCACGTAGAAGGGAAGTAATAAAATAATAAAAATAAAACATAATAAAATTATTCTCACGACGTTTCGGCCACAACGCAAGCAGCCGTCCTCAGGTGAAAAACACATCTGTCGAGGCGACAGCGTCTGTGTGCTGCTTCATTCAGACGCTGTCGCCTCGACGGACCTGGTCTTCACCTGAGGACGGCTGCTTGCGTTGTGGCCGAAACGTCGTGAGAATAATTTTATTATGTTTTATTTTTATTATTTATTACTTCCCTTCTACGTGACTTTACCGAAAGAACCAAGAAGCTTCTTAACGAATAGTTTGAGTTTATTTTCGGGTCGCGGCGACGGTGGGGGGGGGGGAGGTCACACCTCGGACGGTGTTGTACCCTCTGCCGCAACACATGATCGAGCAATCCCCGGTGCCGTTGGAGCGCAAGTCGCACCGCCGCCCCACCGTGCCGGGAACGCCGCGGGCATCGTCGCGCTCGCAGTAGTCGGGGCTGCCGTGCACGTGCACCAGCTCGCTCGGAGTGGGCGCCACGAACGCCTCGTCCACCGGCTCCAGGTGCAGGCGCGGCCAGCGGGCCGCTTTGCCGCTTTCGCGGCCACCGGTAACGGCACCGGCACCGCCGCCGCCGCCGCCCCCGGAACGAGCAATCCAGTTGTGGGTCACCAGCCGCACGGCGGAACTTGCGTCGTACTTTTCCTGCAGCCGCCATCGTCACCGTCGTCG